GTTCAAGTACTAATCACACAAGCAAGATCATAGGAGTTGGATGCCTATAACCCACTAGATTCAGGGTGGATATGGTGACCCGCCTGTAACTACAGCTCTGCAAGGCCCAGACAAAGGGCCCCAGAGCAAGGTGGCTTGCAAGACCATCATATAGACAAGCTCTGGCTTTGACTGAGTAAGGGTGATTAAAGATGACTCCTGATATCAACCTCAGGCCTCCACAGTATACACACATGTTCTCTTTTTCTCACTCATGTTTAGGGTAATCTATCCCCATGTACAAAGCTGCCTTCTTTCAGCCCAAGAGGTTCCATTTCTCAGAAAACCAGTCTCTTGGTGGAGATTTTTAGAAGACTCTTCATGGGGCCTTCAAATGAGAAATGAGAATCCAAGTGTAGAAAATACAGGTTTATTCTTAGGAAGCTAACATATACAGTGTTTTAGGCAAGTGCTACGTTATCACCAAGAGCAATCTGAGGTGGTTGGAGCAGACCACAAAATAGGAAAAGAAAACATCGACCTTTGTTGTTCTTTGGCCCAGGAAAGTAGCCAGATCTGGCTGTCAAGTGGCTACACGGGAGAGAAGTTGGGTGCTCTGGCTGCCCTCCCGCTTTCTTCCCAGATTTCTAATACTCAGACAGCCATTGCTTTTATAGTCAAGAGTTAGCCCTGAACAATCTCACAGATAGAGCGAGGGCAGGGATGGAGAGTCAAACACAAGTGTGACAACCAGAGGCATGACCTCAGGGTCTCCTCAGCACAAAGTGTGAGCACAACCTTCCTCGGGGACCTTGGAACCACTCCCAAAGAGGTGGCAGAACCAGGGCTCTGAGCAGCTTCTGCCGGAGGTCCCACAGAAAGCTTCCCCATCATTCGGCAGGAAGGGAGTGTGGGTGTGCAACATCAGCTGTGTTCCGCTGGGCTTGCATCACCTGGAGTAACACCCACCAAGAGCTTTCTCCTGAGATCAATTTGTTTTCACATAGGGCTGTCATAGGATGCCAGAAGAGGAGACTGGTTGAGACCTGGGGAAACTGAGAGCCATGTCACTATTAACAGAATAGTTACTAACTGCCAGTCTGCGTGGGAGGAAGGAACAGGATGAAGAAGAGGGTGGAGGGAGGACACAAGAAAGCAGCTTGAGGAAGAAATCAGTGAAGAGTGCATCCTGAAATGAGACTGCCAGAGCCTAAATTGTGGGGCTATTAGTTAACATCAACTATGGTGCTGACCAGAGAGTCCAAGCATAATGCGGACTCCCATGGAGAGGGAGGTGGAACTCACTTCAAGACACACGGAAAAGAACAGGTAGAATGCAGGATGTAAGGAAGAAATTGTTACCATCACCTTATGCCGTGGATACGCACAACTTTCTAAAGAATAGAAGGCTTCCAAAGGGACTGCTCTGGTCTATTTGTTTCAAGTCTACTTGGTTCAACAGGGCATGGATTCGCTGCCTTTGTGGTCCCAGAATACCTGTGCTGCCAAACAGCCTGGGGAAGGAGTTGATCATTTTGGCGGCATGGCAGGTGACCTAAGCAATTGAGGTCAAAAGGGCAAACAGTGTGGAGAAACTTGCCAGCACATTTCTCTTTGGAGTGTACTTCTGGGCCCATTGTCCTTACCCACCAACCTATAACACTGCAACAACTCTCCAGTCCCTGAAGCCAGGAATTGTCTCCAGTGCATCACTGTGATCCCTACCTGGCCAGATAAGACTAAGCATTTATGAAGAGCACAGAAGAATGAATGAACAAGTGTTTCCTTTCTTGAGTCATTGATTCTACTTTGCTGAGCTTGAACGACTTTTGTAAGTATAAGGAAAGAAGTGGTCATATTACAGGCTACTCAGAAACAAATGATTATCTCATGCAATAATGAACAGAGACCAATCATGATATTTGCCTGCTGTTCTTAGTTACTGCTCTGCCAAGCAGCCCAATTTGTTAACTGCCTGCATTAAAGATCTAATTTAATTAAATCTTGAACAAGGCTCAGAAGACCTATGGAGAGCACTTGCCTTAATTGCAGGCAGGGGGCAAGCACCCATTTTATTGATCTAGTCCAAGTCGAAGCAATGAAGATGGGCAAAGGGAGAAGATGTGGCCCCAGTTGCTTTCCAGGCAACATGGATGAATTTGTGGCCCAGAGCTGTGACAGAGACACAAAGGCAAAACAGCCACACACTATGCGGACTCCGAGACCAAAATGAAACTCAGGCTTCTTCACTCTCCAAGACTGCAGATCGGGCAAACATTAGACCACAGAGAGAGATCCCTCTTCTCGGAAATGACATGTGCTGGGTAGTGTGGGGTGGAAAGCTTCCAGTATTTAAAGTCTAAAAAAACTGGCATTCAAAAGCATTTAGAAAATTCTTTAAGATTCACAACTGTCTAGAAATGAAAAGAAGTTAATCCAGCTCTGGGGTAAATATACAAATTCCAGAGGATTTTTGAAGAAATAATGCACATTCCTTCAAATTTTGCTATTTGAAGATAAATGAGGTGCACATTACATAAATTTATATTAACTGTAACAGTGGCACAAACAGATGGGTAAAAATGATACCTATTTTGAATGACATGTGTATGAACTCACACGTGCATGTATTTATACTTAATTGCTCATTGTCCAGATTAGAGATATTCAAATACCTAAGGATCCTTATGAATAAAAAGAAGATATAAAGGTAAATCTTCCATATTACTCAAATTTTGATTTTATTCAAAACAACTACACTCATTTGTGAGTATTTACTACATGCTGAGCACAGTGTAAGTATTTCATGAGTATTATTTAATCATCCTGAACCAGGTATCATCATCAAATTCATGATGAAGGAAACAGGCCCAGAGAGGTCAGGTATCTTGCCAAAGACTCAGAGTACCTTTGCAGGTCAGACTGTGAGTCCCAGAAGTCTGGTTCTGGGGCTCTGGTATATGATGTCCCTCCAGAGTACGAGGCTCTTAATTCTGGCCTCTAGAGCTGGAAAAAAATGCTCAGGACGGAGGGGAGACTGACTTTTTTTCTTGCTAGTTACAACCAAGGGCGCTCTGTGCTTCACTAACCCATATTAGAGGGGAAAAATATTTTAAACAACAATATATGCAACATTGCCTTGCAAAATATGAGCCATCAGCATGCAAGATGCTGAGCACACACCTAATTAGACTATCAGTCACGAAGATCGGGAGTGTGACCCAGGAAATTACAGGTGGTGTAGGCCTCCCTGCTAAGTCAACATCATCACGATCCCCAGACACAGTCTTTGCTGACTGGGAGGTTTACAGCCCCCATGCGTGTGCCCATGGGGACTATCAGATACAGCTGAGTTCTAGAAACATGCTTATGTGGGTTCAGAAAGATGTTGTCCAGACAGAGGCAGGAGAGTGGCTCTGTAATTATGACATTACCCACAATGGCTGACACAGTTGACAACCTTCAAAACTAGTTATTTAATCCATATCTACACCCAATGAAAATTAAGAATACTTGTGTACAGAGTAAAAACAGAATGACTGAGACTAGAGAGATAGATCAGCAGTTAACACTGGCTTACTGCTCTTCCAGAGGACGGGAGTTCAGCTCCCAGCACCCATGCTGGGCAGCTCACAACCACCCGTAATTCCAAGTCCAGGGGATCCAAACCCTCTGGCCAACACTACAGGCATCTGTAGTCTCTCAAGTGCAAATACTCATGTATGGGCACACAGACATATACATAATCAAAATAATAACAATAGATCTTTAAAAAACAGAATGATCCTGGACAGTGGTGCACAACTTTAACCCCAGGACTCGGGAGGCAGAGCCAGGTGGATGTCTTTGAGTTCGAGACCAGCCTGGTCTACAGGGCGAAATCCAGGACAGGTACCAAAGCTACACAGAGAAATCCTGTCTTGAAAAACCAAACTAAAACAACAACAACAAAACAAAACCCCCCCAAAAAACCAAAAACAAAACCCTATCTCAAAAAACAGACAAACCAAAAATAAAAACAGAAAAAAAGAACAATTTACACATGCCAACCTTATTGAAGAACAAGTTTCTTCCCAGGTTAAGGAGACACAGCAATGCTAATGGTCCACAAGCCTCCTAGATGCCTCTCATGCAACTCCAAGTGCCCAACACCAGCTGGAGCATGGCTGGGGAGCAGCATCCTATGCTACTTCAATTGAGACTGAGAGCCACGGAAGCCTCATCATTCAAAGTGAAGTTTGGAAAGAGCCATTTCTGATGGAAGAATTTATCCTTCCATCCTGAGTCCAATCATAGTTCAAAGGCCTAGCCAGACAAAGAAGAACTTATAGGCCCTGGCAGGTGGGCATCCATCTTTGGAAAAGTTAGTACAGATGCTTCGCTGTTGGAACACCAGCAACTTCAGTGACAGAAACATGTCCTGTCACTGTAGTTCTGAAACCAGTGCTGGTCCTTGTGGGGATACCTGCCACTCTCTTACATACTACGCCTGTACAAACCCACACATGTGCACACTACACAAATGCATGTGTATTCATATATATATACATATACACACATACAAGTACGCAAACACCCATGTATGCATACAGTTATAATAGTCTAGAGAAGAGATTTTTATATTATTCAATATAAATGAGAGGAGAAAATGTGGAAAGAATTAGGAGGAAATATCTGTGTTTCCAATTATGAAAATATCATTAGACTGTCTTAACAGAATATTTTAATTGAGCTAGAAGAACATCCCAATAGAGTAGACTGAGACTTGCTGACCTGACATAATTTTACCATCTATGCAGATTTAGGATTCCTGAGAAGAGTGTTTTTAATAATCTTAGCTCTACCGTAAGGATCTCTGAACTACTTTCATGAATGACTTCAGAACTGGAAGGATCTGGCGATTCCCAAGACTGAGATTCCCTAGGATTCCACACTCTGGAGTCTCTCCCTAGGATGTCCTTGGCTCTTCCCGCCCACCCCTCCCACCCCCAGGCCTAAGGCAAGCCTGGCTGCATGCTCACCCTTCTCCGGAGCCTGTCCCGCTCCTCACGGATGGCATTCATAGTGGCCTTGGTCCGGTTCAGCTCCTCCTCTTTGCTGCACAGCATGGCGGTCAGGCTTTCATTCTCTTCCCGCAGTCCAGCTAACTCTTTCTCCCACCGAGACCGCTCCTCAGCCAGGTTGGGATAAAGGTCACGACCAAGAACTCCCTCAATCTCCTCAACTGTCTGAAAAACACGGTCACACATCAGAGCCATGCTAGCTCCCTTGGAAAAGGGGGACAGGAAGGAGCTTGTGAACCCAGGAGTGGGGTGGAGAGTCCTATGCACACAGTGACACCTCTTGGTCATTCTCTCCTCAGATTCAGATGAGGCTGTCACTTGCCTGCATCATAGTTTCTGCTCCTCAGCAGTCCCCAGAGGTAAGGACAACAGGGTCCCTTCTTGGTGCTGAGTCTGTGTGTGGCACCCACGCAATGTTTATTTCCTTTAGGAGCTCCAGAGCTGGTCAATTTGCATCCAGGCAGCAGGCCAGTGAGTGATCCTGATAATGCCGTGACTAACACGAGGCTGCAGGATGCACACAGAGTCTAATTGTAAGTTTCCTAAATTACAGGCCTTCCGTGAGCCAGCTCAGCAATAAGGCAGGTCACATCACCATTTCCCACTCTCGGTGTCACATGAGAATTCAGATGGTGTGAATGAGGTTCCATCCCAAGATGGCAAAGACAAAAATAAAGCTTAGGTGACACAGGAAAGAGCGGGCCCTTAGTAGAGGCTCCCCAGACAGCGGGGATTCAGTTAGTTCACAGGATGGCCATGAACCAAGTAGAAGAACATCTTAATATTATTTGGAAAGTTCTTCAAAACTTTTCATCTTAAACACACGATTCAAGGATCAGGAAGATGCATACGATTATGAAGACTGTCCTCTGCTTGCTCTGATAGCCATTGGTCCATAATGTCCTTTAGAAAGAGCATAGGTCAGCTAGTGTTTAAGCAGAAGGGGACTTGCTGAGCCGAGAGATCACACAGGAATGAGAAACAGAAGAGTCTCAACACTAATGACAGCAGCAGGCCACTCACACCAGCTCCCTGAGGAAGACAGGCACCCAAGTCTTCTTGCCTCTGTCCCCATGTGGTGCTATTTGTTTTTTGTTTTTTGTTTTTCAAGACAGGGCTTCTCTGCATAGTTTTGGTGCTTGTCCTGGATTTTGCTCTGTAGACCAGGCTGGCCTCGAACTCACAGAGATCCACCTGCCTCTGCCTCCTGAGTGCTGGGATTAAAGGTGTGCGCCACTGGCGCCCAGTCCGATGTGGTGCTTTGTCCTTCCTTTCAAACCCAGGACAGTCTGTTTGGCTCCGCTTTCACCATAGCTAATTGCCAGAAGTCCCTGCCCACCCTTGACGATGAGGCCAGCGCTAGCTCCCAAGTCAGCCATACAATCAAATCTGGGGCTTGGGAGACTCCATTGAAGGAAGCACCTGTGAGTGACTGCTTCTCCTCACGCCAAGTCCTATGATCTCTCCATCTGCAACCGCGATGAAGGAAAATGGAAAGGCAGCTGTACTGGTAATGCACTTCATGATTCACCCACAGGCACTACCGCCGTCTTGGGAAATCCCAAATTCTTTCTGACAGAAACTTGGGACTCGACTGTCCCTTCATATGAGTTCCTGTAAGACTTGGAAGTGTGGGTTGGAAGGCCTAGGCCACTAAGCCATAATGAAGTAATGGAAAGACACCAGAGGCCCAGGATTAAGTAGGGCTTGACTTTCCCATTATTCGGAAAGAGGCGAGGCTGTGCACACACTGCTGTGAATTCCTCTCACTCAGAAGGAGAGGAAAACATGTGAAAGGCGAGGTCAAGACCCAGATATACTGGTTAGGGATGAGGTGACTCAGCCAGACCCTTATCCCTCCCTCTTTGGACAGCACAGATGGAGTTCTCACAAAGTTGGGTTCTAGAAACCTTAAATCTGTAAGAAAGCATCTAAAGTCAACTTGCAACATAAGAATATTATAGCAGCTGGGCGTGGTGGTGCCTACCTCTAATCCAACACTTGGGAGGCAGAGGCAGGTGGATTTCCATAAATTTAAGTCACTCTGGTCTATGGTACTGGGCCAGTTAGGGCTACATAATGAGACCCTATCTCAAAAAGAAAAGGAAAAAAAACCTACAGTGGACCACACCAAAATGACATAGTTTAATGCTACTAATGTAATGGGTTCCCAGCAAATCATCCTTTTTAGTGCACAGCCCTAAAACATCATGCTCATGGTTGTTGATATATCCTTCTCCCAAAATAATTTAGCCCAGCAAATGTGTATAGGGCTCCCGCTTCTAGCTGATGGTTCAATATGTTTGTATGGCTTTCAGTGGCTAATAGGTATTCAAGAAAACCCACTGCCAAGAAAGGAGTCTGCCCCTCCCCTCCCCTCCCCTCCCCTCCCCTCCCCTCCCCTAACCTCAGAAAGCCAAGTGGAGGGGGAGGAGGCCCACCTTAATGGCCAAGTCACAGTGCTCGCTGGCTGTGGTGAGCTGTTCGATGTGCCTGTCCACCTCGGCCACCGAGAGGCTACAGCTGCTCTTCTTCCTGCCGCAGACCACACTCTCCAGCCCCGTCAGCACCCTCTGCAGTTCCGAGTTCAGGTCACTGCAGTTATCTGAGAGGGAATGAGGATAAAATCCATTAAATAGGTAGACTGGCAACACACGCTCTAGGTTTTTGTTGTTGTTTTTAACCATAAAAGGCTCATTTGGGAGCGATGGAAGAACAATGGAATATAGCATTCCCAAGGTCAACATCATCCAGTCTCATCACACCGGTTGCTACCTAAGGCTTGCAGCCAATACAGACCTTTTATTAAGGAGTTTTAGACTTTGGCTATTTCCTTTTTCTTTTTCTTCTTTTTCTGGAGCTAAGGGCCGAACCCAGGGCCTTGAGCTAGCTTGGCAAGCGCTCTACCACTGAGCTGAATCCCCAACCCCAACTTTGGTCATTTTCTAGATACCTGCAGCACCCAGAATTCTCTTGCCTTTCAGTCAAAGGCAACCAACCACATTGAGTTTTTCTAGTATGAGCAAAGCACCCCAGAAGAGACTTCAAACTCTCGTCAAACCCTCTTGTTCAGACCAACACCAATTCTAGAAATTCAGCAAAGATCTCATAACTTCTTTGAACAACAACAAAATATCAGAATGAACATCGTTGATAGATATTTAAAAAGCTAAGAAACTATTTCTGCCTTCAATAAGCTTCAAGTCTGCCCCTGCTCCTGCCACCATACACCAACTGATAATGTTCCACCTACACAATTTAATGCATTTCCTACACTGGGGGAATAACCAACTTGTAAAAAATTCCATAGTTCTCCATATAAATGTAAACAATTCCAATCATTTTAACAATCTAGGTTACTATTAAACTCCTGGATTCTAGGGTCTGGTCAGGTAAGGAAAATTAATTATATGTGTTAGATACATGTTATAAAATAGCTCTCATGTGAACAAAAATCTCTTTAAAAATCAGCAACCATTCTTCTCCCTGTTGTTCTGGAGCCTTCAGTTATTGTAGGAAGTTCTGCGTGGAGGACACTACAGTCTCCTCAAGCAAATCCTCCTCAATCCAGCCTGGGTCCTGCATGCAAGAAGCCGGTATCTTCCCAAATACCCTCTGGTCACAGGTTCAATGCACTAACACAGACAACTGTTTTTGTTGCTAAGCTTTTGGAGGACTTCAAGAAGATGCTCCGCCTTATGGGAAGTAGATTTCTCAGGACTTTTTTTAAAACTAACCTCGTTAGGCTGCCCATATCTACTAGTCTCCTAAACCTAGAGAGCAATCCAGCAGGAGGCTTTTACTCTAACTGATGCGGGCATGGATTCCATCTTCTCCAAGTTGCCTCTTCCCATCTCTCCCACCTCTGTGAATAGAACCCGCCATGGAGCCAGTTACTCAAGTCGACTCTGAGGCAACCTTGATGCCCTTTGGTGTCACATCCTAAATCCAACCCACCTTCTATCTATAACCTCCATAACTCATCCTCTAACACTCTCTGCTGACAGCGCTGTGCTCCAAACCACCATCACCTCTCACGTGTGTCCTTCTAATCACTCCACTCCTCGCGCTGTCATTAAGGAGACTCTTGAAAGGCAGACTATGATACCTTCCTAGGCCAAACTGGCCAGTGGCTTCCCCTAGCCCTGACCACTAAACTAAGATCCAACTCCTTACCACGGTCGTTAAAAACTCCGCATATCGGAGACTCATGTCCTCAGCCCAGGCTGCACCATGGAATTCGTTGGGGGAGCGTTTATAAAATGCCAATGCCAGGGCCCCACCCCGGACCAATTAAATCACAATCTCTGGGGGTGGGGCCTAGATACTGGAAATGTTTTTAATTCCTCAGATGGTTCTAATGTGCAGGCTGGTGAGAATCACCAGCCTGGCCCTCTGCTCCTCTGTGATCCTCCTCCAATGCCTGGTGTTCCTTTTGCTCTTTCCTACTATAGGGCTTCTCCCTGTCATTAGAAGATATCAAATTCTGATCTCTCTCAGATGTTCCTCTACCTAAGCTCCTTTCCACTTACCATGCAGCCTCCCCACCAAGATCCTCCTATCATGGGGTTCCCATCTCCCATCTCTGCCCGGTCCCCATTCCACTGTCCTGTTGGGGTTGCAGCAAACATCACTATCTGATCTGACATGTAGGTTCATTATCTTTCCCTTCTAAAAACACACACTTCTATGAAGGAAGGGACTTTGATCTTCCTCATCACTGCATCTCGAAATAGAACAGGGAAGGCAATCAGAAACAATTTTAAAAGAGTAAAAATCAGCACTAACTCCACGGTTTGAGTCAGCAACACAGAGGAACCAGACTTTGTCAGCACTAGGACGCTTTACGTAGGCCTTCAGCTTTTCTTCATGATGCACAGGGGATGCTGACAGCGGGGGAGGGGAGGGAGATACACATCACAGTGGTTCACCTGGACAGGAAGGACAGGGGCTTAGCACCAAATCGAAGCAAAGGGGTCCAAGTGTGGAGCAGCCGATTCTGTTGACACATGGTCCAGTTTCTGAATGACCATTCACGCTCAGGTGCAGGTTCCCTGGTATCCAGAGCTGGACGAACACACCTTCCCAGATCTGGACATGCTTATCAGTAGGACTAAGAAAAAAAAAGGAGCTTATCGTCAGCCACTCCACACTTGGCTCACCCAGGTCCACCTGACGGTGTGGCGAGTCACGCTGGATGTGTCGGCTGAACAGCTCTCAAGAGTACTCAGGTTCTCAAGGTGGCAGCCGGGCTTTGGGGAACTGCGGGAGGGCAGGAACGAGGGTTCTGTCAGTATTTCTCATTCTGTTGTCGGACAGTGGCTGAGCCCTGACCACAGTCTGGAGGCACAGTTCCTCCATGAACGAGAGACTGTTCTCAATTCTGATAGGCTCACAAATGCGCGATGGCCACACTAAAGTCCTTCTCTCGGGGACCCGCCACTAGCCTGGCAATGTTCTCCCTAAAGAGCACAGTGTCACACAGGGCTGTCAGAAGAACGGTGGAAGAGGGACATTTAGGTGGGCATACAGAGCCTGATACACTAGTGAGTACTGGAGAGCCCAGCCCAGGAGAGAGAGCCATAGGAGGTCTCCTTCAGCTGTGTCGTGTGTTTGAGGCAGTCTAGAGTACATGAGACCCAACATTCAAATAAATAAATATACTCAAATTAGTCTGTGTCCCTCTGTTCTAAAAGGAGAGCTACAACGGTTTTGGATTTTTTGATTTGTTTGTTCATTTGGTCTTAGGAAGGCAAGTGTGTAACTGCTAGGCGATGAGTCCTCCACCCCAGTCCGTTATTGACATGTACTCCACTGATGATCTACTGACGTGCCACTGAACTCTGCCATTGTGCTCCATTTGGTGATGAAGGGACGACAAGGTGGTCAGGCTACCACGAACAGATAGGGATGTTGGGGTGAGGCGCTGTCGCCAAGCATCTGTCCTTCACCACCACTCATTTATCAGTACTGCTCTAGACAGGGCAGATGGGGAGCTGGTCGCATATTTTTCCAAATATTCACCTATCATAATCATAAACTTCTTCATTTGGTACAATCCCACCCCAGCCAGAAACTGGACCTTCGATACCAAAGGCTGAGGTAGCTGAATACTGCATGAAAAGCTAACAGCTGTAACAGTAAGGTGTTTCAGACAGAGCAGAAGGTCCTTCAGTGAGGTAGCATTTACAATAAAACAGAAGAAAAGTGAGCACTCCTCACAGTTCAACAAGATATATGACACTCACATCTTCAGTGAGGTAGGCAAGAGGCCTCCCTCAAAGGACCCATCTAGGCTTGAGGACTTTAGTTCACTCACCCAAGGTATATGGGGTTGTTAGGAGAGCAAGAACCATGACAGAAGCTTTCTATGGTCAGGGCCATGTCACCAACTACTGCAACCAGAATAGGCATCTATGGGCATACAACCACAAGCCTGTACACTGACTTCCTAGTTACAGCCAGAAGCGTCAACAGAGGGCAAATGAATGGGACTATTAACTATGAAAGGACTCTGAGAAAGTAAAGGGTCTGTATGCTAATTCCAGGACTAGAATGTGAATAGACTTTGAAACATTATGTCACATGGAATAGGACAGGGGCAATGATTCTACTTTTGTGAGATATTTAGAAGCAAATGCATAGAGACAGAGAGCAGAATAGAGCCTGGGAAGGATATATTGAGCAGTTACTGTTTGGTGTGTGCAGGATTTAGGAATACAAAGGATAGTGGTGATGGTCATCAGACTATGGATGCACTTACAACCCCTGAACTGTTCACTTAAAAATGTTTACCATGCTATATATTATCACACACACACACACACACACACACACACACACACACACACACACACACACATACATATCCACAACAAAAATAATAAACATCTATCAGTACATAAACTGGGAACACAAAAGCTAACAAGCGTGCAGGAAATAGAAAACATCACCTTCAAGTTTATGCTTGGTTCATTAAAAACATCTGGGGTGGTATGGAGGAACAAGAGAAATAGATACAGGAAACCTCAGTACCTGGTGAGAGTTACTGACTTGTTAATACTCCAGGCCACACGTAAGGCACCCCCAGCAAAGGGCAGCATGGAGGGTTCTTCAGTCATGCTAAGCTTTCTTCTACGGAGATGAGGTGATGGCCCTGCCCTGCCTCTGTGAGACGGGAGGCCCTCTGTATCGAACACACATTCTTTCACACAGCTTATTTATACCATTCCTTAAAGGAAACAAAGAAACTCGAGGTAGCTTTTGACAAGTCACTACATCTAACAGCGGAGGGCAGGCAGCGGGAACAGGGCAGACTCTGGAGGCGAATCCCGAAGAGCACAGCTGCAGGGGATGGTTTTGTCTGTTTAGCCCTGAGCTTTCTGGCTGCCAGAGAAGGAGTGAATTAGCTCCTGTCAGCAGGGAGGAAGCATTCCAGTTTCACAAGAGAAACAACGCGTGTTAGGCTATAGAGCTGCAAGAACTCAGGCACATGGACTTCATACGTATCGTGATGTAAGGGGGCCATGTCTCCCAATCAGTGTCACACGCATGCAGGTCTCACCGCTTCTTTTTATGCTAACCTTCAGTGGGGAGAGTCTCAGG